ACACCAATATACTAATAACTATATATATATACCTAAGTATAGTTAGGGCGCGTGGTCTGTTACACTCACTCATACACACCACTGAGTATATATATACTACTATACTATAACTATATATATATACTATATACACATTTATACTATATACACAGGAAATATATTATAATACATTATTATATATCCTCGTACACTATACGTTATACATCTATACCATAGCCACCCCTCACTACTACACTCCCAACTATTAGATGGCCCATACTACAAGTTATCCTATATAAGTACTCATATACACCACTCACTCACTATGATATATGATACAATATCTACTCATATATGTCCCTATAATATGTAATATGTACTATATGTATCACTACTATGTAGGCCTACTATACTCACTTGGCTCTATATATATATTGTTATATGTTATATATATGATATATATATGTGATATATATAAATACGCGCTACTGTAGCTAATCGGGTATATAGTCACATATATCATTACCATACATTATATACATATATATTATAACATATACTACTATTACTATATATATATAACTTATAATATAACATATTATTATGTACCACTATATATACACACTCACACACACACACAACACACACCAACACACACACACACACACACACACACACTATAAGATAACCAATATTATATGTCCACACCTATATATATACTATATATATATATATCATATATATAATAATATATATAATATAACCTATATATAATATATATGTACATATATTAACATAATATATAAATATATTAATATATAATAACTATATACATAATTATATAAATATATATATACTCCCAATAATATATATGTATAATAAACATATATTATAATAATTTGGGTATATATATAATATATAAAATATTATATGTAAATATATATGTATTATATACATACCACTATACATATATGTAATATACATATATATACATATATATACATATATATATATACATATACATATTATATATAATACAGGGCCGTATACATATTGATACAATTATATATATATTGATATAACAACACTAATACAAGATATATACTAGACCTACACTGTACATCACCTATATAACAATGATTACATATATAACTGTTAACTAATTATATATACATATACATATACCTATTATATACATATATATTCATACACCTTACTTACACTAAACACTATTTATACAGTATATATATATATACAATACATATATATAATTATATTATATATACACGTAATATACTAATAATTATATATATACATATATATAAGTCCTTCACCCTATATATACATATATATAATACGCATATATATATACATATATATACATATATATTATATATATTATACTCTACAATTATATATATAATATATATATATAACTATAACACCTATATATACATATATATAATACATATATATATATATATACATATATATACATATATATATATATATATATACATATATAACATTATACATATATATAATATATATATATATACATATATATACATAATACATACATATATATATAACATATATATACATATAAATATACATATAATATATACATTATATACATATATATATATAAACAAATTATACTATATATACATATACATATATATATACATATATTATACACTATATATACACATAATAGATACATATATCATATACATACATATATATATACATATACATAATATATATATACATACATATATATATACATATACATATACACATCTATATACACGTATATACATATACCATATATATATACTTAATAGATATATATAATTTAATACAGTATATATATACTATATATAATATAACATATATATACACATATATATTATATATTTATATATATATATATATATATATATTATAGTATATATATATATATATATAAATCCATAAACTCAAGGAAAGGCAAAATCAGGTGAGGTTTCAAGTCTACTAATTGACTCCTCTGTGGCTAAGCACTTGTGGAGCTATCTATGTGTAGAGACATTTCATAAAACAACACTGCAGTGAACACTGCATTTTTCCTGCAGAGGTGGGTTAATATAATAAATACTAGAAAAGTGACAACATTCAAGTACTTATAACCTCAGCAGTTCACATACAGCTGGTAAACATTACATAGATAATTATAAAAATGTGAATTTACATAGCACTTTATAGTGAACTTGATAAATGGGTAGCAGATGACCTATCACACTGTATCATATCAATAAACACTCAACTCAGTACAAACTACAACTACTGAGTTCAGTACACAAGTAGTTTTCACTATGCAACATAATGTTTTCGAGACAAACACACAAACACATGGACTCTGAAGGCCTTCTGTGCCATGAGAGTGCCAGTTCAATGTCAAACCACTAAACTGTTATGAAATGAACAATAGTAATAATAACAGTAATAGTAATATTAATAATAATGATAAAGATGATGATAATAACAAAAAAGAGGAAAAGCTAAGAGTCCACACGCTGTAGGATGTGTTTATTTTTTTTTATTTTATTTCACCTTGTAAAATAACTTACATCTGAAACCCTGAACAGCTGATCACTCTCTGGGCTTCCCTCTGGCAACCGCGTTAGGTCTGACACGGCGTGAGCCTGTTGACCTTAAGGAAGGGGTTAGGTCTGTCCTTGAAGCCTTAGATGGGTCGCTCTTAGGACTAGCACGTGCAAACCCCGCTCACAAGGGATTCCAGTGCCTAATCTTAATTTCCTCTTGCCCTTTAGACAGTGTAGCATCTTTTGTAAGATGGTCAACTTATATAATATCTTCTTATGTCATTGTTTCTTCAGCGTTGGAAGAAATACATGATTTTTTTCCTGATCAACAATTAAGAGGATATCATAATCAAATAAAAATTACTCCATACTACCGCTTTACCTGATACATGATGAAAGAGACATTATAACTATTTATACTTGTCACACTTTAGGAAATAACATCATGTTGGCAACAACATTCTGATGTGGAAAAACCATAGTAAGTGGAGCTTCACCGCCACTAACCCTCCTACCCCCTGCAACCCTCATTCCCTCTCTCTCTCTCTCTCTCTCTCTCTCTCTCTCTCTCTCTCATCTCTCTGTCTCTGACTCGTACCCGTACGTACGTCAGTCGTACTCTGCCTCTCTCTCTCTCTCTCTCTCTCTTTCTTCTTGGATTTTTTATGTGATCTAATTGGATGCTTTGAGACATACTTTTTGTATTTCTGAGATGAGTGTCACGACGATTTTGATTCTTGAGCTTTTTTCTTCGATTGTATCTTTCGATTTCTTTCTTTCTTTTCTTTCTCGTCTCTCTTCGAGAGAAGTCGTCTTAGATTTAGTATTCTGTGAGATCTCCGATGAGACTACTTTCTCTGATTCTCTGACACTGCTGATGATCTCGATGAGTATCATCTGAGTAGAAGAGAGAGACGAGTCTGATGAGTGAGAGGATAGTCTGCGTATGAGAGAGAGATCGTACGAGACTAGCGGAGTACTTTCTCCTCCTCTCTCGACCTTCGTCGCTATCTCTCTCTGCTCACATGAATATACATCTCATCATCTAATCTGCTCGTACTCTCTCTCGTCATCTCGTCAGCGAGATGTACTCTTCTCTATCTCGTCTCTCTCTGGACCTTTTTACGCCCCTCTCTGAAAGATGCTCTACTACGATTCCACGAGAGAAAGAGAAAGATATCCTCTCTCTATCTCTCTTCCTCCTCTCTCCTCGTCTTCTCTCTCTTTCTCTCTCTCTCCACTATCTCTCTCTCTCCTCCCACTATCTCGTCTCTCTTCTCACAATCACGAGAATAAATCTCTCTCTCTCTCTCTCTCTCGACCTCCACTAATCTCTCTCTCTCTCTCTCTCTCTCCCACTCACTTATCTCTCTCATCATCTCTCTCTCTCACTTCCACTATTCTCTCTCTCTCTCTCTCTCTCTCTCTCTCTCCACTCACTAATCTCTCATCTCTCTCTCACTTCACTATCTCTCTCTCTCTCTCACTCACTATCTCTCTTCTCTCTCTCTCTCACTTATCTCTCTCTCTCTCTCTCTCTCCACTTATCTCTTCTCTCTCTCTCTCTCTCTCTCTCTCTCTCTCTCCGTCTTTCTCTCTTTACTTATCTCTCTCTCTTCTCTCTCTCGTCTCTCTCTCACTATCTCTCTCTCTCTCGTCGCCTCCACTATCCTCTCTCTCTCTCTCATTATCTATCTCTCTCTCTCTCTCCACTATCTCTCTCTCTCTCACTTATCTCTCTCCTCTCACTTATCTCTCTCCTCACTATCTCTCTCTCACTATCTCCTCTCTCTCGTCATATCTCTCTCACTACCATCTCCTCCTCTCTCTTCTTCTCAGCTACAGTCTCTCTCTCTCTCTCTCTCTCACTGACATCTCCTTCCTCTCTCTCTCTCACTACATCCTCTCTCTCCTCTCTCTCTCACTTACATCTCTCTCTCTTCTTCTCTCTCCTCTCTCTCACTACCATCTCTCTCTCTCTCCTTCTCACTACCACTCCTCTCTCTCTCTCTCTCTCTCTCACTACATCTCTCTCTCTCTCTCTCTCTACACTCTACATTCTCTCTCTCTCTCTCTTCACTACATCTCTCTCTCTCTCTCTCACTACATCTCTCTCTCCCTCTCTCACTACATCTCTCTCTCTCTCTCTCTCACTACATCTCTCTCTCTCTCTCTCATACATCTCTTCTCTCTCTCTCCTCTCCCCACACATCTCTCTCTCTCTCTCTCTCTTCTCACTACATTCTCTCTCTCTCTTCCTCTTCTCTCACCTACATCTCTCTCTCTCTTCTCTCTCTCTCACTACATCTTCTCTCTCTCTCTCTCTCTCTCTCAATACATCTCTCTCTCTCTCTCACTACATCTCTCCTCTCTCCTCTCTCACTAACTCTCTCTCTCTCTCTCTCTCTCCTCTTCTCTCTCTCTTCACTATCCTCTCTCTCCTCACTATCTCTCTCTCTCTCTCACTACATCTCTTCTCTCTCTTCTCTCACTACATCTCTTCTCTCTCTCTCACTACATCTCTCTCCTCTCTCTCACTACATCTCTCTCTCTCTCTCTCTCTCTCTCTCACTACATCTCTCTCTCTCTCTCTCGTCTCTCTCTCTCACTACATCTCTCTCTCTCTTCTCTCTCTCTCTCACTTACATCTCTCTCTTCTCTCTCTTCACTACATCTCTCTCCTCTCTCTCTCTCTCACTACATCTCTCTCTCTCTCTCTCTCTCTCTCTCTCTCTCTCTCTCTCACATCTCTCCACTTCTCTCTCTCTCTCTTCTCTCCTCTTCTCTCTCTTCTCTCTCTCTCTCTCTCTCTCTCTCTCACTCACTACACTCTCTTCTCTCCTCTCTCTCTCACACATCTCTCCTCTCTCTCTCCTCTCTCACTACATCTTCATCTTTCTCTCATACATCTCTCTCTCTCTCTCTCGTCTCTTCACTACATCTCTCTCTCTCTCTCTCTCCACTACATCTCTCTCTCTCTCTCTTCTCACCTCACTACTCTCTCTCTCTTCTCTTCTCTCTCTCCTTTCCACTAATCTCTCTCTCTCTCTCTCTCACTACATATCTCTCTCTCTCTCTCTCTCCCTCTCTCTCTCTCTCTCTCTCTCACTACATCTCTCCTGTCTTCTTCACCCGCTCAATCACTCGCTCTCTCATCCGCTCAATCACTCGCTCTCTCAATCTCACCTCGTCTCTCCTCATCACTCGCTGCTCTTCTACTCCGCTCTCATCTCGCTCTTCTCACCCGCTCAATCCCCACTCGGCTCTTTCTCTCACCCGCTCAATCACTCGCTCTTCACCCGCTCAATCACTCGCTCTCTCACTCCCCTCAATCCACTCCGCATCTCTCTACCTCGAGCTCAATCAACTCCAATCACTCGCTCTCTCCACCCGCTCCAAGTCACTCGCTCTCTCTCTCACACCGCTCAATCACTCGCTCTCTCACCCGCTCAATCACTCGCTCTCTCATCACTCTCTCACCGCTCAATCACTCGCCTCTCACTTCCGCTTCACTCGCTCTCTCACCCGCTCAATCACCGTCTCTCACCCGCTCAATCACTCGCCTCTCTCACCCCGCTCAATTCACATCGCTCTCTCACCGCCGCTCAATCACATCACCCGTCACTCGCTCTCTCACCCGCTCAATCACTCGCTCAATCACTCGTCCACCCGCTCAATCACTGTCGCTCTCTCACCCGCTCAATCACTCGCCTCTCTCACCGCCAATCACTCGCTCTCTTCAACCCGCTTCAATCCACTCGCTCTCTCAACCCGCTCAATCACTCGCTCCTTTCACCCGCTCTATCACCTGCTCAATCATCTTCGCTCTCTCACCCGCTCAATCACTCGCTCTCTCACCCGCTCAATCACTCGCTCTCTCACCCGCTCAATCACTCGCTCTCTCACCCGCTCAATCACTCGCTCTCTCCCCGCCTCAATCACACGCTCTCTCACCCCTCTCATCACTCACTCTCAGTCTCTAACTTACTCAATCACTCACTCTCAGTCTCTAACTTACTCAATCACTCACTCTCCCTCTCACTCAATCACTCACTAACCCACCCACCCACCCACTCACTCTACTTGAGACTGCTTTCAATCAGGTAACTCATCTCCCCTTACCCCCTCCCCCAAACATAAAATAGGAAAAACTGTCTGAATAAAAATACACCCACCCATCTCAAGTCAAAGAACATACCAACAAGAGAGGCATAAACCAACTATTTCTAACATTGTGATCTAAGCACAAGACAACCTAGTCCTAGAAACATAATAAATGACTTAACTCTTGCTAATTAATAATCAAAACACCACTATGCCGCTTATTTTTCTAGGAATGACATGAGAAGTAATAGCAGTCATAAAAACAGCAGAAATAATAACATCAATAGTAATAGTAGTAGTATTAATAAAAATAATAATAAAATAAAAGCAATAATAAATATATTAATTCTTCAATGAATAGTCCTGAAAGCTAATTATTAATAACAATGATTAGGAACAACAGTAGCATAAACAAATAACAATTAAGAAAAAAAAAAAAAAAATTATATATTATTATATATATATATATAATATATTATTATATTATTTTTCTGTTTTTAGCTAATACTTTTGTTCGAGTTTGTGCGTGAAGTATCTAAAAGCTGATTTCATCTTTGCGTTCTTTTTCCTCTCTACACTAGCACATACACCCAACCAAAATGTTTTGAAATTTACTGTATAGAAAATGTAAATTGTCTGACATGTAGTAACACTAGCGAAATGCGAAAATAGCTACTACACTTGATGAATGTTGGGTCGAAAGGAGTTAACAGTTATTTGCATAAACCAATACACCTGAAAGACGAACTTATCATAAAGAAAAACTTACCCTATATTAACTGCAACTAATCTGACACAAGTTATACTCGCACCACTTCCTCCCCTT